TTTTTAACAGGGATTTGAATTTTTACATGTCATGTTCTTTAATAACTCTTTTGCTACACTCACTCTCTTTTGGTTTTCTCTTCCACTTTTATTTCCTTATTATCTCTTGCTATGCAACCACATTTTCCTCCTATGTTTTTTTCCTCAATTATCTCTTCCTCTTGCTTTTCTCTTTTCCCCAACATTACTTCCATAAATGTCCAACTTTCTGATTGAAATTTCCGTGGCTATACTAACCCTCAACATCGTTTCCGCCCACACGAAAAAAACTCAAACCCCCGTTCCTCCACATAGAATGTTTAATAATCGATTTCAAGTACTATAGATTTTAATATAAAAGCTTATTTAATTTTTATTTTTATTTTAATTTTAATATAAAATTTAATCTATTTTATCTTTTATATTTATTATTTATTTTTTAAGGTAGTCTTTTTAATAATAATAATCTAGTCATAAGCCAAAACACTTGATTAGTAAGTATATTTTTTAAAAACAACACTTATTTATTACAAATAACTAATTTAATTATTTTTTTAATCTATTTAATTAGTTAACTAGCCTTTTATTAAGAACAGACAGTAATAGTTGAAAAAAAATAACAAAAAAGAAAAGCTCAACGTTAGTAGAAATAGAAAAAGATCATGAGGACAATTATTTGATACTGGCAATCCATGAGCATGCATGAAGACAAAGACCACAAACATATCGTCATTTATGAAATAGGATTCCAAAAAGAAAAGCTTTTCACGGGCTCACTGTACACATTGTGATGAAATTTTCAGCCGCATAAAGTAGGAAGAATTATTATAAAATTCTAAATAAAAAAAATATAATCATTAAAAAGTCCCACCAATAATATAACTGCATGTAACGATAAATCTTAAGATATAAATGATACTCTTCTGTATATGACTTAATTCTTGAGTTGGTTTTAATAATCTAAATATAAAACCTATTTCTCATATTTATCAATTTTCTTTAAACTACCCTTATAGATACTCCCTCAACCATAATTAAAATAGAAAAAAAATAGAGATATTAAGAAAGATGATTATGATGTTTTAAGAAAAAATGTATCACTTTTCTTATAATTAGCTAACTTATCTAATTTTTTTAATACAATCAAATTAATTAAATGTTCTCACGCTGGAAACAAGATGAGTACTGTTCTCTTGTTTGCTTCTGATTATAAATTTGCCCCTGAAGCGCGAAGAGATGTGACCTGTCACCGAACAACACGTCTACGTGCGCCAGACATGTGGTCCCAAATAGAGGACAGTGCACCTGCAACTTGAGATGGGATCCAAACACACTGAGCTGACTTTCTCTAATGATTTCTAATATCCTTTAAATATTTTAATTATTTTTTAAAGAAAACAAATGAAAAATGCATAATTTTAAAGTATTTTTCTACCAGGCAATCGATTTGTTACCTTTGGCGTTATAACTTGGGAGCTGCTTGACGTTCTATATATTCAACTTTTTTACCTCTATAGGTTCAAAAAATTGGGAAATCTTGTATTTGTGAGATTTACTAGAGTAGATCTTATATATAAAAAGTAATTTTCTCTTATTATTTATATAGATTTAAATGATTGGGGGTGTTTTAGATTTGTGGGACATTGTTTCTACATGTATTTAATACAGGAATTTCTGACGGTGAATGATGTTCACATATTTTAATTTAGGTGTGCATAATAAATAATATTACTTCCGGTCCTAATTATAAAAGCTAATTGATTAATTTGAAGAAATTAAGAAAAAAAGTTAAGTTAGTTATTTTGTAATAAATAGGTGTTGTCTTTCCTAAAATATCCTTACTAATCAAGTATATTGGCTAGAGCTAATATTGTTACAAGGATTTTCTTGAAAAAAATGCATAAATTTGAGAGACAAAGTAGATTGGAATCTCATATTTATAACCAAAATAAAAGTCAAACAATATTTTATATTAAAAAACAGAGATAGTAGTACATAGACTCTGATGTGATGCATGTGAGGATTGAGACAAGATAATACCCCTCTTAGTTGTGCATAATAAATAATTTAGTGGAATAATAATGCTGAACATTTTAAAAAACAAAACAAGAAGAAGAAGAAGAAGCAAGTTGATGGGACAAGATGCAAAGGATAGAGACAATTTGTTTTTTTGGCCGGTGATAGAGACCTAAATCTAACAACAATGCCACTAACCCAAAATGGTGGTCTAGGCCGAACAATGATTTTGGGCTTAACCACAGTTGTCATTAATGAGTAAAAAAAGGGGACTAAACACTAAATTAGTTAAGATAATGATTTAAATTTTATGAGTCAGATTATGATCAACTTGGATCAAATCAGCCATATTAATATAATATAATATAATTGAAAATAGTAAAATACAACAACATTAATAATTACTAATAACAAAATACAAAGAAATACAACAATTATTTGATTATAACAGTAATAAAGTATAACATTATTGAGAATTTTCATCTTTACGATCCCTCAGTAACTAAAATTAATAATAATTGCTATCAAAATTATTATTAAAATTCGTTTAAATCTATAGTCACTGAGATATTAAGAGTTGAATGAGTAAAATTATGATCCACAGTAACATAATCATCCAAATTGGCTTCCACCGATTCACCCCCAGTTGAGATTGGTTCAACTTCTAACTGGTACACTACTTAAACTAGACTGAATTATGAGCTGATTTGTTGATTTTTCGGTTGAGCTGGCTAGTTATCTTTGGTTCTGTTTTGTTTTGTTTTGTTTTTTTGCTGTGGTTTTCATAGCTTTTGTCATGCCCAGCATTATATACCTGGCCTTAACAAGTATTTTACTATGGCTTTCATATGGCTCAAGATGGCAAATGCGACCTATGTGCAGATGGCTTAGAAGACACTGACCACGTTGTGTCCATGCTTTAGAATGCTGGAATCTCATCATCCCCATGATCGCCTGTGGCAGTTTATAATAAGCCCTTTTACAGAGTGGCCTCAACATAATCTTGCTATTAGGAGTTCTGATGCTCCATGGAGTAGTGTCACTTTCGCAATCGGAAGCTTTGGTCAATTCGCAATCGGGAGGTCTTTAATTACAAGATTTTCAAGCCCGTCGTGCTGTGAATGAAGTTATGCGTTGGCTGACCCCCTATGCAAGACTTCAGAAACGACAACGAATAGTAACTTTTGGTGCTTGTTCTCTTCTATGTCTTGTCCACTTTTGCTTGCACTCTGTAAGATTTTGTAAATATTTTCGTTATTAATATATCTATATTTGTGTGTGTATATATTATACACTCCCTCTAATTCTAAATATATGAAATCTAATATCTCAATAATTTTGTCTTCTAAATTTATAATTTTGTTTTCTAAACTCTTCATATTAACCGCACATATTAAAAAAGTTGTTTATCGAATGAGTGGTTTTCAATGCAAGTAATTAAAAGAGGCATTTTGAGAAAATCAACGCAATAAACTATCTTTTTAACTTCCATAAATTAGTTATCTAACTCTTACATTTATACAATCAAATGGAGCATAAAATCTAAGAAAAAGATCCGCTAGCTATAACCCTTGAATTATGCAATTGGCCCATGAACTCCATGCGCATGGCATACTTATAATATTATTTAATGAAAAACACAAAATCTGGATGGTTAAAATGAGTGTTCCATTTGCTCATCCTTAAAATGAGCAAAGATTAAGAACTCAGCCTTGCAATTTAAAATGACCTTAAATTGTGTTAATGTTTGAATAATGGTGATGTTTTCCATATGTCACAATATTCCAGAGCAGAAACAGGATAAAAAGGACGGGATTGCTCTTCGGCCAAGAGGAAACAAATCCCTAAATATTATTTTATAGGTTAATTTTTAAGTCAAGAATATTTAGTGGGAATTAAATCCATATTCTATATGTACAACTTGCTTAATAAAGAATTATAAAAATCTTAGTTTTTTTTAAAATAAAATAATGTGATTTCACCATGTTCAGCGTATCAGAATCTCTGGCCCATGAAATACCTCCAACAATATTTAATACATTGGATAGCGTGGCAGCTAATGTTTTTATGACTTATTTCATTTGAAAAATGTTGATTAAATTTGACTTCTGAATTTATTTATAATATCTTCAATGTTCTATGCAGTGTTTCAAGAATTGGACTCATGAAGCAGCCGGTTCCACCAATAATTGAATTGGTGATTGGTCCAATATAAAAACTTCGATCATTATCGAACACAATCAAGGTAGCTTTTCCAAAAATTAATATAAGTGGCCAAAGTTTCTTTTTATTCATTCAAGTTCAACTTCGAAATCTTATATTTAAGTAGTCAAAGTCCCTTCTACTAAAATTAATGTCTGGCTGATAGTTCCGAATGAATAATTAATCACGAAAATTTTTTTATAACAAATGAGCAGCATGCATGATAATGATAAGATGCAGTATAAAAAAAAAAAGTAATAACTCAAAAATTTTAATGATTAGATTGTTTATATAAGTTATACAGTAATTTATTTATTTTTTGTATCAGACAATGACCCGTGAATTGCCTTTTTTTTTTACACCATCAAAATAAATTGAATAGGTCAGCGTTGGAAGTGGCAAGAAAGAAGAAACAAAAGCTTTTATTTTACGAAAGGGAAAATGACAATTTAGGACAATAAAAAATTTAAAATGTCAATTAACTATCTTTATTGATTAATTGACGAAGACACTTATGGGGATCAGAAAGCACAACATCCCCACTTACTATTTTTGCAATATATATATAGAACAATACCTGCATCAATTTTTTAATTATGTCAAGTTTTTTTAATTCCACATGATAATACATCTTATTTTTAAAATACTTTAATTTAATTATAAACTTAAATGAAAAAAAGATACATAGCTATGAGAGTAGAAAACTTAACATAGTTGATATAAAAAACTTAACTCAAATATATATATTTATATTTATATATGGGGAATCAAACATCAATCACATCTTGATAATAACTTTGACACAATCCGGCTGCTTCAAGAGCTCAAAAGCTTTGTTTATCTCTGTCAACGGGACTTCATGGGTCAAAAGCTTCTCAATTGGGAAATCCTGTGAATAAGACCCAAAAAAGTTTTATAATAGAGGTGGTTCAGAAAATTGAAAGTGATAATTTCAAATAGAATTATCATAAACAGTGTATATGATCATTTTTAAACTTTTTTTTTATTGAGAGAATTTATACCTTGTTCTTGCATTTGGCGGCTAAAATGGAAAGGTCAGATTGGGGTTTCAAGCCTCCAAAAATTGAACCCTTCAAAGTCCTCCCAAGAAGAAGACCTAACCAGTTGACTTGAACAAATTCTTCACTTCCCACCCCAATTGCTATTGCCTTTCCTCTCCCCTGCATATATGCACAAACAAACATAATATATATATATATATATATATATAGAGAGAGAGAGAGAGAGAAGGGGGGAACTATTAATAGAATCAACACAATTTGGGGGAAAAATTGAAGATAATAACCCTACGTCCTAGTGGTATAAAATCTCTTATAAAAGTAAAAGGTTATGAGCTTGAGGTCATCTGTAACCTAAAGTTGTTAGTACATGTTTTCTTAATTTTAAAAAAATCAAAATAGAACTATAGAGTTTGTGAGAAACATTTGTAAAAAAATTAGTGGAACTAAATTTGCTATATTTTTATGCATTATATATATTCATATATATATATTGATTATTGGGCATTATAAGATTACCACTTTAGTAGATTCTAGGGCTTGAGTGAGCAAAGAGGCAACACCAGTGCACTCAATGGCATAATCCACACCCAATCCACCAGTGAGGTCCTTCACCAGTTGAGAAGAAGGCTTATCAGAATGATCCTTAGGATTTATGAAATCTGTCATTCCAAAAGCTTCTCCTTTTTCTCTTTTCTTCTCATTTATGTCGATCCCAATTATCTTTGTCGCTCCCATCATCTTGGCTCCACTTATAGCCTGCAATTCATGTAGTTCGTTTGCCCATTAGACAAACTTCGTATCTTGCTAAAATATACATATGAAAACCGTTATATTCTACTAATCTTCAATGTAAGAATCAAATAACTAATTTTTAGAGATATTAAGAAAATTAATTAAGTTAGTTATTTGTTAATAAATATCTGCTGGTTTTTTTTAAATAGCTTCTTTAATCATTTGCATTAGCACTATCCCTTAATGAAAATCCCTTTAATATGACAATCAATAAGGACAAAAGGAAAAAATAATAAAGTTGTGAGACAAAATAATTTGACATCTTATATTTATGACCCTTAACTAGCTCTTGCATTTAGGACATAAGGGAATAAACTTGAAAAAGAAGTGTTATTATGTTTCCTTCTAAAGAATAAGTAATTTTGTCTGGGAAAAAGTACATACCCCTAATCCAACAGCTCCAAGGCCGAAAACAGCCACAGATGACCCACTTTGAACTTGGCCTGTCTTCCAAGAAGCTCCAAAACCAGTGGAGAATCCACAAGAGATGAAGCTAGCATGAGCCAAATCAATACTTGGATCAACTTTCATAAGATATTTTTCATCACTAACCATGTACTCACACCATGTTGAGCAGCTAAACACATGGTAAGCCTTTTCCCCTCTAACAGAAATCCTTGATGTGTCATCAGGCATTAGCCCACTCACTCTTAAAGGATATCTCAGGCATAAGTTTGATTCCTCTGAAACACAATTCTCACATTCTCCACATTCCCCAATGTATATTGGAATCACCACATCTCCTTCTTTGAAATCTTTCACTTCTTCCCCCACGCTCTCCACAACACTGCGATTTCATATGCACCAAAGTGAAAGTTGTTTCTGGGTTAGATTACTTCATTATAAGAGATTAGTGATAGAATAATGGGATTGATAATAAAAGTTTACCCTACACCTTCATGGCCTAGTGCAAGAGGAAAAGAGGGCTGCAAGCACGTCAATTTCATAATCAGAATTGTTTGGTTACTTTTCTAATGTGTGAGGTTTGAAATAATTGAAGATATGGTAATAGGAGGATTAACTAAATAGGATCTCACATATGGGTGGCCTCGAGCTCTCAAGAAGTCTGTGTGGCAGATACTAGCAAAGAGCATCTTAACACGAACTTCGGAGGCTTTTGGAGGATCTACTTGTATCTCTTCTACCTTCACTGCCTCTCCTATTCCCCAGCATATTGCTCCTGCAATTATATTTCACCATTATTACTTAGAATATAAACTTACATAGATGCATCATTCGGAGAGATTTATGGCAAAATCATAAACTACAAGAAAATCATAAGCAATTCGAAAGAGCTTCCGTGCATTTATAGGATCTGATATCAGATAGTTTCGTCAAAGAGAAAAATCATAAGCGCTTCGATTATTGTAGTATGATTATGATAATACCTTTGCAAGTTATAACTTGGGAGCTGCTTGCCATTGCAATTGTATTGCTTCTCCCTGTGCTGATCCAAGCAACGAGCTATGGAGGAGTCTTTGGCTTGTGAAATTCGCCAACTTGAATAGGTCTTATATATAAATAATAATAATTAATTTTCTCTCATTATTTAAGTAATTGAAAATACTAAAGATTTCTAGTGAATTATGGTTACTGGTTTCGGTCTTTAATATAAAAACTATAAAATTACCTTATGGATATTACAAAAATTAGTCAACTTAGTTATTTGTAATACATGGATATTACCTTCTTCATAATGCCTCCATCAATCACGTGCATTAAAATTACCTTTTTATAAAAATTTCTTAACATGTGCAATTACTGTAGAAATTATTTGGAGAGAAAATGAATAAATATTAAAAACATACAAAGCACGTTGATATTTTATATTTAGAATCAAATTGAATATTTAGTTAGCTCATATATGATACTCATCTGATCCTATTTATAGGGTAAAGAGAAGACATTTTTTAATCTTATTTATAAGGCATTAAAAGAAAGTTTTGTATAGATGCATAATTATATCCTTTATTTATTATTATGCTAATTTTGTTTATATGAGATATAATAATAAAAATAAGATTGAAAAATTAATAAATTTTAAATAAGGGTTAATAAAATTTGAATTTTTTTTAATTTGTATAAAATATATTAAAAATAACTTGCGAATAAGACAAAAAAAGTAAATGAAAGATGGGAGGTGGTGTTTAATCCACGCAGGCCCCTGGTCAAAAAAAGAAAAAAAAATCCACGCAGGCTATTTTTGGTAAACGCTCGGTGGCTGCGCTTGCATAACAATTACTCGTCCGGTCCTTTTTATAAAACCTAATTTGACTTTTTATTTGGTCCTAATTATAAGACCCAATTCATTTTCTCTCTTATATTTATACTTTTTTTTCCAAGATAATCCTTCTAATAATGATAGTTTTAGTCAATATACTTAATTAGCAAGGATATTTTAGGAATAACAACACTTATTTATTATAAATAACCAACTTAACTTACTTCTTTAATCTCCTCAAAAAAGTTAATTGGGTCTTATAATTAGAACCGGAGGAGTATAATGATAATAATGTCTGGGAGAGGGGGCGGTTGTCTCTGGAATCCCTGACATTTGCAGGTTATGCATGTGAGCGTGCAAGTTTCGATGCCATTTCTATATATTCAAAAATTACATCCACAAATATCATTTTACCCGTAATTTTATTCGTTTACGTCTGACTTTTTTTATACAATTTTACTTTTCATTGTTAAAATTGCATTCAAAATTCAAGAATAAAATCACACAAAAAAATTTAAAAAAAATTATGCCTAAAAATAAAATCAAGATTAAAAATTATACAACTATAAAAATTAGAAATAAAATTATATTTGAAAAATGAGATTAGAATTAAAATTGTACTATTAAAAAAATTAGGAATAAAATCTCACAGCCGCTGGAAAATTATATTTAAGGACCAAGTCCAAATTTGTACGAATAAAAAATAAAAAATTCTTCCCACAAGGGGCAGAAAATCATACTCGAATAAAAAATAAAAAATTCTTCTTACAAGGGGCAGAAAATGATACTCATTTAATTTTATTTATAAGTCACTTCTATTATGTTTTACACAGGTCAAAGAAAATCTTAAATTTTATTAACTTTCATTTAAATTTAACAACTTTTAATATTATTTCTATTTAATATACATTATACATTATGTAAATAAAATCAAAAAAATAATAAATAAAAGGTAAAATTATATATTTATATAAAAAAATTTTAGTGTATATAAATAGGATCAATAAATATCTTTTGTTTCTGTTTTATAAGTAGAATCAAAGTTCATACCTGCACGAATGAATAAGATAAAAAAATTGAATACTCAACATCAAAGTTCAAATTTGTACAAGCGAAAAAAATAATAAAAACTTTGCTGTTTATGTCACACAAAATGTAGGGGAAAAAAATTAAGGTCAAAGTTCAGATTTATACGAAGAATGCAAAATAAATATTATGTTGTGTCACAAAAACGCAAGAGACCGACGGGCAAGCCCGGTGAAATGACTTTTTTGTTTCATTTGAGAAAAGCAGCATAAGATGCCTTTTTATGTGAATTGAAAATATTTTAACATTATAAAGTATAATCGATTTTTTAAATAAAGTTTCTTAATTGAAAAAGAATCAACTCTTTACATTTGAACAATATGGTGGCTAATAGCCTTGTATAGAAAATATTATGATAAATAACAATGAAATTGTTTTTTACGTATTAGTGATTGATCGTTTTAATCAATTAATGAGCTAGATATTTCCTGTCACACTAGTTAAAAGAATCATAATGTGAATGAAGTCATCTTGAGAATTTGATAAATATTCTTATTATATATATTCATTAAATTTTAGTTGACTTTATGACATAAAACAGCTCACACTATGCATAGCACTGGTTAATTTTTTTTTTTTTCCGTTAGAAAATTCACCCACTATAGAAAAAGGGCTTATAATTGCACTTTTGGCCTTCTGAGAAGCAATCCGAGGCTATTCCAATTATAGGTCATGTTAATAAAGTTTAACCAAAGCGGAAAGGAATATTCAAATTGCCTCGCAGTATTTCCAACAAAATTGTGTCCAATAAAAAAATGTCTATACGTAGCAAGAAAAAAAAAATTATGAAAAGTACAAGCATGAAAGTCCTAGGTGAGGAACTGAACTCAACTTATGTCAATGATAGTGGCTAATCGTTTGTGTGAGATCTATATTATTCAAATACAGGTTCAATATTTCAAGTTTAAAATTTTCAACTTATAATTTTTAAATAAAAATTATTTTTAAAAAACAAGCCATTTATTTTAAATTTTATATACATTAAAATTATTTTTTATACAAAATAAAAGTAAACAAAATTAATTTAAACAATTTAGATTAGATTTAAACAGTCTAAATTTCTATATTTACTATTTTTAATGAGTACCAGTCCACTTTCAAAGAAGTGAATAACTTATGGGTAGAAATAATAGATTTCAAATTCAAATTTGTTAGTAAATTGGTAGTCTAATCTTGTAATCAGTAAACTAATTTTAAAATTCTAACTCAGTCTTATTTACTACACTTTAATAATAATTAACAATATTTAAAAAACAAATGACAATTGTAGTCATTCCTGATTTGAGATTTTAAAATTTCAGAAGTTTTTTTTATAGAGTTTTTCTAAACTAAAAGAAAATAAAACAAGAAAAAAAATGTGTGGTGGAGAAAATTTATTAAACAATAATTATCATGATTCGCCTCCTATCAATAATCTTAGTTAGTACCCCTTTGTGGGTAAAATTGTGGGTAAAATTACATTGCTAAAAAATTAAGGAAAAATTTCAATTTGGGACTACTGTAGGTAATTAATATCAATCAACCTCTAAAACATTTTAAAACTTCAGTCAATCTCTTAGGACAAAAATGAAATTAAAATTTCAAGGTAAAATTATAAAACAACCCTTTTTTTTTAATGTTTTTTAAAAAATTCAGAGTTCCAATGGCTGGAGGATTTTTTTTTTTTTTTAAATAAAGGTGGCTAAGGAATGTTTGAACTCAAGACTCCTTGACGCACCAACAGTAATATGCCCATCAAGCCAACCAAGTCATTTAGTATTAGAATGCAAAGAAAAATATATATAACAAAACAAATGCAAGTGTTCGAGTATAAATAAATAAGTGAAATTCAACAATTTACAACAAAAATTCGGTAATTTACAAGTAACATAATGAAATTCACAACCCCAAATGCAAGTGTTTAGGTGTGAATAAGCAAGTGAAACTTGAAGATTGACAACAAATAGTCATGGATTTGCAACCCAAATTTAGCGATTCAAAAAAAACATAAGAGAATTCACAACCCCAAATGTAAGTGTTTGAGTACGAATAAACAAGTGAAATTTAACAATTTACAATAAAAATTCAACGATTTACAATCCAAATTCAGCTAACAAGAAACATGAATACGTACATTTGAGTGTGAATGGATGTTTGTCGTGAATCACCGAATTTGGGTTGTAGATTGTTGAATTTTTGTTGTAAATCGCTGAAATTTATTTGTTCATTCATACTCAAACACTTACATTCGAAAATGTGAATTTCCTTCTATTTCTTGTGAATTGCTGAATTTGCATTGTAAATCCATAATATTTTGTTGTAAATCTTCAAGTTTCACTTACTCATTCACACCTAAACCCTTGCATTTGGGGTAATGAATTTCATTATATTCCTTATAAATTGTCAAATTTTTGTTGTAAATTTGTTGAATTTCACTTTTTCATTTATCTTGGAGCTTGCATTTATTTTGTTATATATATTTTTCTCTGCATCTTAAGATTAAATGGTTTGGTTAGCTTGGTAGTCATATTATTTTTGACGTACTAAAGGGTCATGGGTTCAAACTCTTCTGGCCACCTTATTTTTTTAAAAAAAATGCTCCAACCACTGAAGCTCCAGTGGCAGCCACCGGAACTCCGATCTCCAGCAGCGGCCACCTGAGCGCTAGTGATCGAACCTCTGAACTCCAGTAGTCGGAGCTCCAGTGACAATTAATATTTATTTTTTTTGAAAAAAAGAAGGGTATTACTGTAATTTTATTCTTAAATTTTAATTTCATCTTGATCCTAAAGGGTTGACTGAAGTTTTGAAATGTTTTTGGAGGTCAACTGATATTAATTACCTACAGTGGTCCTAAATTGAAATTTTTCCAAAAATTTACGCTTTCCGGAACCTGTAGGTGAAAAAATATAAAGAAAACTATAAAAAAAGAAAAGGAGCGGAGTCAAATCAAATTAAATGACAGTTGAGTAATTAATTAAGTTTTAAGTAATTTTTTTTATTCATAAAAATTTATAAATTATAATTTCAAATAAAAATAATTCAAATTATTTATCACTGAAAAGTAAACTGAAATTTTTTTGGGGTACAAAAGGGGTCTGAGCCCAAAACTGAAATGATTAAGTGCTTCATGGATCCTCCTGGTTTGTTCGCCTCCT